AGCTTGACTATACTAATAAAAGAGTAAAATTATCAATCAGTTTACCTATGGTTAAATTACTGGCATTGAGACATAATGATTTTACATAATGACTTTAACAAACTATGAAAACAAAGTAATGAGATAATTTAAAAATAACTAGTGGTGACTAACATTCTATAAGTATATTAAGATATTTGATCATAGATATATAATTAGGCCATCAACTTTTTAAATAAATATAATAAATATCAAAGTACAGATTTCAAATAGAATATGGAAGTATAAACACCTGTACACCAAGTTTTAAACCTTCCAGTTTCTAAAGGAGAATTAATACTAGAAAGATAAAATATAAAGTTAACAAAAATATTCATGTTTGCCTGTAGAATATTTAGTTGTCTTCACTCATTAATTATCTCACTAATCTGGTTAAAAATATGTGTTCATGAAACAAATTGATAATTACATTTACAAGAACCCCCTTAATAGTATTACATTTGATATAAATAACCTACTTCTCTCATAGGGCAAAGATGTGTAGAAATAACCAGCCAGGCCATGTCTTCCATAAAATATTTTTTTATTAAGATAGGTTTGGGTTGAAAAAAACATAAATTTTCAAAGTTGAAAATAAGGTATTCAAATAGCTCCAATTATTGTTGTAAGATACCCAGAGGAATGGATTAGGTATGTTTCTTGTTGTTTATACGGTTATCTGGAGGGGAAAGTTGGCTTCTTCAAGAAAAACATTAGCTTAAAATTATCAATGCAAAGGATGACTTTTAAAGGTTACTATTTTTGCTGTTAAGAATGTTATTTATTGAGTATTCAATGTATTCATGTTAATATGCTAAATACATTTTATTTTTTTAACTTACTTCCATGATATAGGTAAGACATAAATAAGAGTTGTTTTCATTGGAGTCAAGGAAACTAATTCTCAGAAAGATTTTCATTTATTTGTTCCAGGTCAAAAATAAATAAAAAGGAAATGGCTAAATTGCAGATCAAACCAAGGTCATATGATTACTAAGCTCATGGTTTAACCACGTTCAACTTCAAATAAAATGTATTTAGTATATTAATATGAATACATTGGATGCTCAATGAATACAAATTGGTTGTGTTGGAGCACCCCTCACTTGCTGTGCTGAATGGCACCATATTCCCCTCTCCCACTTGAAAGTACTCCTCCTCAATAATTATATGTATACTATTTTTTAGAAAAAGAAACTCTAATCATTTTTCTAAAATAACTTGAAATATGTGATGGGTATTGATAGTTGCTGAACCAGTTTTTTGTTGTTGTTTTTCTTTTTTTTAGTAAGTATACTATAACTATAGTAACTCTCTTTATTAGAGCATAATAGTATTTTTATCAGTGCTCTCAGATTTGGGGCTTCAACCTAGATTCTAAAACAACACAAATGATTCTTTCTTTTCAAGTGCCATTACATTTGGTCGTCATAAATTGAGAAAGTCTGTGGAGATTAGTACAATTTAGCTTTGAAACCATCTTCACCTAAATTGTGTCTCCTTGAAAACAATATAATAGTTTATGATTAATTTTCTCTTATAACTTTTAAAATGCAGGTTTCCCTCTTCCTTATTTTTATCAAATGCTCTGGCTTCCTGATCATGCCTGTCCATGTGCAGTGCAGGGAAAGATGCATTAGACCCCTCCATACCCAACCACCATCTTCCTTCCAAATCCCACGTGGTCCCCCACAGAGACCCTGATATCAGCATGTAGCTATGCCTCCTGAGCCATAATTCAAAAACACCTTGAGGGAAGCAAACCCTTCTCTCTGTGTCAGATTACAGTTGTCTCCTTAAAACCAAACAAACAATTCCAGCAGCACCCACTCCTTTTAAACAATGAATCTTTCCAGTAGATGTCTTTCTGCACAACTCAAACTCTAGAAACCAACTCCAGCCTCCAGAACTACTTAGTTCCTTCTTGTCCAATCCCTTTGTTTTTCTCCTATTTCTTCATGTGCTGATAACATTCTATGACTCTAACGCTGCATTTGGAGTTCAACCCCCAAATTCCTTTCACATTATTGCAGAGTTCCCGTTTCTTTTTTTACTACTTTTCCCCATCTGGCTACACTTTGAGTTTCCAGCCTGGTCCAACTTTGGTCCCACCCAAAGGCAACATCCACATTTCTATAAAATAAAGGTTTGGAGGTATCATTTTCACGGTGAAGCCAAGAGTTCTTTCTCTGCTTGGGTAACACTCCAATGGTTGTTGGTTATATGTTCATTTTGGGATGGAGGAATTTATTGAAGAAAGATCAACAAAGATTGTGAGGCAGGGGTGTGTCATGACCCATGCTCTGGCACCAAGGAGATGCTTAAGGTTCTGTCCACAGTCTTCTCAAGTCCTATCTCTGGCTTTGACCCTATTCTTTCTGAGACATTCTGAGCAGCTAAGTGTATAGTCTTATTCAATAGCAAAGCTAGCTCAACCATGTGCTGCTTAAAGGGGCTTGACTAAAGGGACAGAAATAGGGTGGATACTCCACAATCCTCTATTTGTCATTGCTTCACCTTATACAATAAATATTATTTCCCCATAGAGCCCTGCAAGGAAGACAGTTTTCAGTGTAAGAATGGAGAGTGCATTCCACTGGTCAATCTCTGTGACCGTCTTCCACACTGTCAGGACGGCTCTGATGAAGCACGCTGTGGTATGTATGCTTTACTTTTAGGAAAATACTTTTATCACTTTAGCCTCTAAATTTGAGTTCTACAAATGTGAAAGGAAGATTATGAATGTGTTTCTTAGGACATGTTTTAATGCTTCGGTATATGGACATCTCCCAATGATAGCACCTCTGTTCCCATTCTAGGTAAGAGAAAAGTTAAAATGCAGGCCCCAATTATTTATTTTTTGTTTAAATTTACTACTCTTAATAACTAAGTCAGAGACAACCCGTATTTAGAGAGAAAGCATAAAATACCACTGAGAGACAATAGCCCACACCAGGCACTTGAGCACCACTCATATTGAAGATCATACTCTGAGCATTGCCTACATAGAGGCACCCTCATCTTTACTTATAACTGATTTTCTTAGACATGGTTCTTTCATCCCTGTTTCTTCATGATCTACTACTCCTGCATTGAGTCTAAGTGACTCCAGCCCCACTCCAAATCTCTATAATATCATGAGTAATGGCTACTTTTATTATGTCTTCCTTTGGTTTCTCAGCAAATATTGAATGCTACTTATTCTGTGCCATGCACTGTAACTAAGTGCAGTAAAACAATCTTAACATATATGAATTAGCTCTATTTCAGCCATGAGAAAACTGTTATATAAAGAGGAAAATTAAGTCCACCAAATTTGTATTTTCAACTTGGGCCTTTCAACATGCTCTTAAGAAAAATTACAACCAGTCTCTAAACTCTAAATATTAAGAACATTGCACATTTAGTTCAGAACCCATCATTTACTTTTACCCACTTAGGTCAAAATGACCCTGTGTCTAATCTCTTTAGTGCGTCTCCTCAATGGCACGCTGAGCAACAATGGTTTGGTGCAGTTCAGGATCCAGAGCACATGGCATGTAGCTTGTGCTGAGAACTGGACCACACAGATTTCAAATGATGTTTGTCAGCTGCTGGGACTAGGGTAAGTAATTCTACTCAGCTCTCCTTTTGAGATTCTCAGACTTTTGATTTGGTATCAAACTGGGTTTATTAAGATACTTAAAATGTATGGAATTTATGAATTTAGAAAGTACACATGAGCAAAAGGGAGAAAAAGATCTCGATTACCCCATTTTCAAAATGTATTCCACTGTTGATAGCTTTTCAATAAATATGACATACATATAAGTATGTAGAAAGATTATAAAGTCATGCAAACTAATACATTATGTTCTGCTGTCTAGCCTACTTATACATGCATATTTCTGATATCATTAAAGCAATTCTATAGATTATTATTTTAAAGAGATTAAATATTTCATTTTATTATATCACAATAGATATAACTAACTACAAGCATGCAGAGAACATACTTTTCCTATATCTTTGTAACATGTTTACAATACTTTTGTTGTTGTTTTTGGAAAATTTGTAGCAGTGTAATTGTTCTGAGAAAAGATATGTAAAAGTTTAAGGCTTTCCCAAAAAAGTATGTCAAAAGTTGTCCAACTATGTCATTTTTTTCTGCCCTGAACCGGAGAATGGTTTTCTAATTTGTTCTAAAAGATTAGATAAAGTTACAAAGGGATACAGTTTCAGTCCACATCCACAGATACCCTCAGCATTTGGCAATTATCTCAGCTTTTCCTAATTCATAAAAAATATAATTGATTGCTTTCCTCATAAGGGGCCCTTCTTTCTAATGGATTAGTAAGCCATATAACAGTCTTCATCCTATACAACACATATTTTTTTAAATTTATTTTCAAATGTTTATTTTTTTAACCCAAAACATATTTTCCACTAGAAATACCATCAGTTATAATGGTAAGGTCTTCGTGTACCCATAATGGTGCTAATCTACAGTAGACTGGGAGAGTTATACTGTATATTATTGTCAAGTGCCTAGCAACCACATCCTAGTAGACATATTTTACAACAGGAAAATGTATCGAGGCTCCAGTCAGAGTGCCAGAAATGCTCCATAACTTTTTACACTTGGATTGAAAGCTATCAACTCCCTTTACCTCCTTCAGTGCTGGTCCTTTAGAATGGGAACTCCCCAACTCCAAGCCTCTTTCAAGTGATGTCAGGCTCAATAGAAAGTCAGTCTCTATCTAGAGGAGGAAATGAGTGTCATCATCCATTATGTAAATAATTATCAGTTTGGTTTGTACCTATTAGTTGGAATCTTCCTGCACTTTGTATATATTATCCTTTTTGTTATACATTGTACCTTGTATTCTAACAAAAACCCTTTCAACATGGGGGGCTTTGAGACATATAGTCTTGAAGGCAGGTGAGTTACAGGGAAATGATGGGTTTTTTGAGGAAGTGTCAACCAAACACCAAAACTGACAGGTGTTTTTCTTATTCTCACCTCAAGCAAGGCACTGAGTAAATGGTATTGATTCCAGATTCCCACTTTAATGCTGATTTCAGTTCAATGGTGAGTTCACACTGGTGAAGCCCTAGGAAGTCATTTGCTTCCACTACTAGAGTCTCCAATAATGCTGAAGAGTTGTTTGACAGACCCGGGAACTTAGTAGAGTAGGCTGAGGAGATTGGTAACTTGACCTCGTTTCCACAGCTGATGAATCCGCATGATATGTCCAATGGGCTTTCACCACACAGGGGCTTGTGATCCAATTCACCACCTTTCTAAGCATCCCGTTATGATTTTAAACATAAGAGTTTTTCCTACTGTGGTTTTCGAATCTTAACTAGTTTCCTGGAGGATATAGGGGATTACGATGAGTCATTTATAAAGATCAAAAAGGTCAACACCTTCTTTGACAGAAATTTTCTTTTAGTGATTTTGAATGACATATGTTGAGTGATAGCCTAGTACAGATTCCTGCATTGCATGAGAGAATGTACTGGAAAGGAAACATATATTTTATTACTTTTTAACAGTTGCTAAAATAAATATATCATGTTGATTCCTCCCGGATCGGGAATCTAAGCATTAGCAATGATACCGTGTCTGTCCTATGGATGAATAAGACATTATTTCTGCTTCAAATGTGGTAGGGATAGGCACATAAATAGATCATTACAGTATAATGTGATAAAGTCGGTGGGCTCTAGGAGAACCTGCTCAATTTGTACATGTCAGGAAAGGCCTCCTAGAAAATGGCCAGGGCTGAGTGACTGACAGCCAATTCCACACACGGTGCACTGTCTATTTACATGTTTTCCCCAGCCAGATTTTCCTCTCTAGTTCACTGACCTCATTTCCTATGAATCACACTCCTTCCATCTGGAGACAGGGACAGAGAACTAGACTTTTTTTCAGTGTGTGTAAAGCAAGCAGTACATCCCACTGCCTTTGATGCAATGTTTTTGGTGAAGGTCAGACACTCGCTTTCTTCAGAAATGAGTCAGGTAATCTCTACGAAGACTTTAATCTTCGGGCCTGCACCTATTAAATAGTCTCTATAGTGCCCTGGTAATTGAAAGAAAGTTATAGCCTTAATGAGAATTTGTCTGGACTGGCAACTCAGTGAGTTTAAAATGATGTGTTTGGTGCCCTGGAAAGTAATTTAGCAGTCAATTTATTAAAAAGGCCCCGTGGTCTCTCAAGATTATTTATGCAGATAGGCTACAAAACGCAATTCCCCAAAGATTCTAGTAAATCGTATGAGGCAGATTTCATCAGCCTTCCCTTTTCAAAATGAAACATTTCCATTCCCTGCCATTTATAGCATGCATAAGTAAAAAGTACCTTGAACAACATTTTCATGTCTCTGATCAAAGCATGAAAGAAAACATTTTATACTGATGCAAGAATAAATGTGCAAGAAACTTGAGTGGTGATTGTTAAGGTGATAACTGTAGTTCTTACTGAAGCACTCTACCCTATCGCTTACCCAGTGAATGAGCTATGCAATTGATTTGCCTTTCTAAGCCATTAAAAACTAGAAGTCACTTTTCCTTCTAAAAAAAAGTAATTCCAACTGTTCAACTTTTAAATAGTGCTGTATTTCTGAAACCAGGAGCAATTTTGATTAAAACTAATAAAATCTAATATATTTTCTTCCTACTTTCTTTCAATGTTTTTCTTCTTTCTCTCTTCTTATTTTTCTTCTTTATTTTTGCCCCCTTCCTTGTTTCCTTATTCACTTCCTCCTTTTCTCCTTCCATTTCTTATTTCCTTCCATTCTCTTCCTTTCTCTATAACATTATCTTTTCAAAAGAAAGGGGAGTGATTTATAGAAAAATATACGCAGTAAGATGAGCAGAGTGTTAGGTGAAAATAATGTCCAAGAAAAAAAAGAGGCAAATCTATAAAACATTCAAGGTTGGCATAATTACTAATATTTGTGTCTGAGATTTCTGGAAACCCACGCAAAAAGGAAAACATTAAAAATCATGTGACTTTAATTCTGAGATAACACACATGCCACCAGCTCCATAGGGAAGACAGGTTTCTCCTGACACTAAATTCTAAAGGAAATGTTGCATCTATGTCCTTATAAAATAATAACACATTGAAAGAGATATATGCACTGAGAAAACTTCACCGTAAATGTGGAGGTGTATGGTGTATGCCTGTTATTCAACAATGAACTCCAATGCCAGCTGAGAAAACAATGTTACCAATTGTTGGAGAGCAGGAGAGAATTCACCCACTCTCCCCTCCTTTAGTTCTTTTGGCTGGACTGGTTATAAAATAATAAAATTGACACAAGGCTGGATTAACAGGAGAAAAAACAAACAATTTAATACTTGTGCACAGGAGAGTCACAATATGATGCCAAGATCATAAAACGAGGCTTGAAGAAGTGAGGAAACCAGGCACCTTCCTATACTTTTTAGACAAATTTGTGAGAAACTGACAAGACAAAGAAAGTTGGTGCTCATTAGAAAGGAATCTACGCAGGTTTGAATATTCCTTAGAGAGGAATCTAAACAAAGTTTGGGCTTGCGTAGTAAATCAGTAAAGGCGTTTGCACAGGCTTTCCACCTCTGGATGGTATAGCCCTTGTGACAAGGTTGTCTCTCAGCCCTTCCGAAGGGAGGGCCTCTATCATGGAGATTTATTTCCTGCTTTTAGGGGGACAGGGGAGAGTCAGAGAGCTCTTCTTGGGCTTGCTGTTTCTCTAGTGATTTTAGTTCTAAATGGTCCGTATTCCTTTGTAGAATATCTTGGGGCAGCCTACCCTGGGCTCCCCAAAAATGAACTAAGGTCAAATTGTCCAAGATGTTGTCCATCGATCCTGTTTCTGACTGTCTCCCCTTCAGCCATAGTTTTGGTAGGAGATGCCAAGTTTGTTTCCTTCCCCAAACCATTCCCTCTGTAAGATAACAGAGAGCAGCTACACACTGACCCATCAACCTCCCACTTGCTCTCCATACAGTAGTGTTACCCATTGGACCAGCTGGGACCTCGGTTCTTTTCATCGATGTACAAGAGATTTTAAGGTCAATGAAAAAGAAAGTAAACAAGATGGGGTTTGTTGAAGATACATTCCAAACGAGGAGAGGAAGGACCAGTAGAGAAAGAGTGCATGGCCCCAACCCCTGTACTTAAAAGAAGGATTACCTGGGTGGAGACTTACATTTGCATTCAAGGATGATTGACAGAAACTATCTTTCTTCTGGGCATGCCCTTACCCATAATGCATACAGAAGAAAAAAAAAAAAACACAGGGAGCAGGGGTCAAAACCAAAATGCAAATTTTATTATAATTAGTCCAGGATCCTCGTAAGGTCACATTGAGATCATGTTGTTTTCCTCTGAGCTTGCTCAAAGCACCTGCCTGCTGGTGGTCTGCTGGGCCCCGCATAGACAGGAGGTCTGAAGGCAATGTTGGTCTGTCCCCTGTTCAGGGCTCCCAAGACCGCCCCACCCCAGCCACTCAAGTCTAACTTCCTAACCTAGCAGTCGGTTGCACAAAGGAGGAAATTAATTAAGTGGAGATCATTTCTTCTCTTGGCATTTCTTTCCTTCTGTGCGCCACAGAATTTTAAGAGTCGAGGTCAGAAAATCTAAAATTAATCAAGCTTACCTGTGGGCTAAAAGCTATCACGGTGCTGGGGGAGGGCTAGGCGTGTTGCTCTCAATGTGGCAAATGAACAAGCGATTGTAGTTGAAATGTGTCTGCTGCTTAAGGGGAGGCTTCGCCACCCTTTGCTTTAAATCCTTTTAATTTACTGATCCCTAGCCTATTAAAATGCTCTCCCCTACCTTCTGCCCTGCCAAATCAATCCTCATTCTTTCCCTCCAATCTGAAAAGGAGCGTCCATTCTTCTCTTTAAAAAACCCTTTCAGCCTAATCCCACCTGGCTCAGTTCATTACTTAAACCTGTTGGGAGTGTGAAATGGGCTCCAGTGCCGGGCTGCTGCTTTCACAGCATCGGTTATTCTTTTTAGCTTTAATGTGTCCCAAAGCTTCACACATCCCCGCCTAAGCTCCGGCTTTAGGGAGGAATGCTTATCACAGCGAACAGTCAGCGGGAGAGACAAAGAGCGAAACCTAAGCAGGGCCTGAGAAGAAAGGCAGATTTAATGCTGTGCAGGACGCGTTGGTGTATCCTTCTCTCTCTCTCTAGAATTCACCCGTGAGCATAAGTATTTTTATATACTCAGGATACAACCTCAAAAATAATAGTAATGAGTTGCATCTGTGTGCTTTTTGACTCACGTAGAATAAGGTTTCTCTGAAGCCAGGGAGCCCTGTGAGGGTGCACAGCCTATAAAAATGGAAATAAAGATTTAGAAGTAGGTAGTCAGGAGGCATTAGCATGTCAAAAAGGCAGTGCTATCTGGGCTTTTCTATGTGATACCAAACTCCTGATTTCCAGCAGCTATGCAAATATGTGATAGAGTTATCTGAATCTGCAGAGCTGGGCCCGTTTTCAGGATTTAAAATATGCCACCTCTAGTTGTAATCTGGACAGAGTGCCTCTCTGAAAATTAACAACTAATTTCCTTGCAAGAAAAAGAAACTGAGTCAGGGATTTAGTTGCATGTTTAATATTTGCAGAACTTAATATAACGTATTCTTTCTTAACAGTTTAAGTTTTCAGTTCTGAGATTTTGTTTTTCAAAGAGTGACTGCACAAAATTGCTAACCTTTCATTTTGCCAAGCATATTTTAAATGTATGTTTATTATTTCCATTATTTGTTTTTTTTTAAATATATTTTTATTGATTTCAGAGATGAAGGGAGAGGGAGAGACAGAAACAACAATGATGAGACAGAGTCATTGATTGGTTGCCTCTGAAGGTCCCCTACTAGGGATCAAGCTCATAACCCAGGCATGTGCCTTGACCGGAATCGAACATGGGACCCTTTCAGTCCACAGGCCGACACTCTGTCAAACCAGCTAGGACTCCATTATTTCTTAAAATAAAAAAATAAGTTATTTAAAAAAAAACTTTTTGCCACTTACGTTCTGTTTACTGTGAATACAAACTGGAATAAATTGTGTTCAGCCCAAAAAAAGGATGAGTTCACCTTGGCAAGATTTCAAATGCAGGTGGTCTGTCTCAAATTAATTTCCCAGTTCTGACACCCAGCACTGACTCCAGAAAATGTTCACATGAACTGATAGACTGTATAATCTACTCCTAGGTTGCTGATATCAATATTTCCTGCAAATAATTATGTGATTACTTTGTTGTTTTTTCTAAAAGAAGGTTTTGTCTAATTATCCCAAATAACCCCAAACAACAGATCTGTAACATTCACTGCAGTTTATTTTCTCATGGAAAGTTTGAGAATAAAAATGTAGAAAGGACAATCTCAGAATATAAGATAGTGTGTGTGTGTGTGTGTGTTTTCATGTGCATATGTAATCTCTATTTTTCTCATCCAGATAGTGAAAACATCCCTAAGGATCAGTATTTGAGCACACCAGGGCAGAATAATTAGCATTTACTAAAATCTTTATTCTTTAAATACATTCTTAATTTACTATGTTCTTTATTCTTAAGATTTTGTCTCTACTCTTCCTTTATCTGTAATAGGCTTATAGTAAATATATACCCGTCAGTCCTATCATAGGGCAATGCTAATGGTAGGTGTGTAATAAATAGATGCTAGATAAAAACTGATTTATAAATAAATTTTCAATGTTTTTTCCAATTTAAATTTGTCCAGATTTTGTTTTAGAGAAATTAATGCATCTCCACGCCCTCCCCCCCCACAGGGTCTGTCTCAAAAGAGATAGCCAAGGGATAGAATAAAATCAGCTGGAGATAATAGAAGCATCTTAAATCCACATCTTTGCAGTGGGTTTATCCTAATAACAAAATATCCAAAATCCTATATATTAAAAGGCTAATATGGAAATCGACCAAATGGCAGAATGACTGGTCGCTATGACGTGCACTGACCATGAGGGGGCAGAGGCTCAAGGCAGGAGCTGCCCCTGGTGGTCAGTGTGCTCCCACAGGGGGAGCACCGCTGAGGCAGAAGCTGGGTTCATGGCCCGTAAGTGCAGGGGCAGTGGCGGGAGCCTCTCCTGCCTCTGCGGCAGTGCTAAGGATGTCCGACTGCCCGCTTAGGCCCGTTCCCCTGGGGCCATCAGTCAGACATCCCCTGAGGGCTCCCAGACTGCAAGAGGGTGCGGGCTGGGCTGAGGGACCCCCCCACCCTGTAAACAACTTTTGTGCACCAGACCTGTAGTATAATATAATCAAATAACAATATCCAAAACCACTTACTGTGCACTTTGTATGCTAAGGGCTTCATGTCTCATGTTATTTAATCTTCACAACAACCCTATGAGGTTAAAATGATCACTGTATCTCCATTGTAAAGATGAGGTAACAAAAGAGCCTACTGATTGAGAATTTGTCCAATTGTACTCCTGGTAGGGCCAGGGTTTTAAGCCCACAATCTGACTCAAAACGCAAGCCTCTTACCCACTAATTACTAATCATTAAATCAATCTTTGACTATTAATTGCAGTCCTAATCAATCATTTTAAAACCTTGTTAAAATCTTCAATAAAATAAAATCCAACATTTCAGATGAAAAAATAAAAAGAAGTACAAGATGCTAAATTCTGAGGCATTACATATAGACTCTATTGTTCCAGCTCTCTAGTCAGTGAATCAATGGTACAGGACAAATACTCCTTCTGTTTCTTCAAGGCATTGTCTCCCTTGAAAAAAAGAGAAAATATCCTCCACAGAGGTTTTCTCCTCTTATTGGTCATAACATCAATGAGTATTCTTGGAAATTACCTACACAGATAGAAAAGGGTGAGTGTTGGCTTAATCTGTGGAAGACATTGAACCTTCTTTGGAAAAGGCAATGGGTGAGCCCATCATGCTACCCAAAAAGGTAGGAACTAAGCACAAAAGATTTTCTTTTTCTAGACTGTTCTTTGGCAACATGCATTTTTTAAAGGATGAATTATGCAACAATATGATGCAACGATTCTGTGAAGTTGTCATTAAATTGATCATCAGGGAAAACGATTGGACAATATAAATAAGTCAATATAAAGAAGTCAAAAATCACACGCCCAAGTTATATATACACAAATTTTAACTTTAAGTAATATATAAGCATGCAAACAGGAACTTGAGGTATTAAGCAAAAATTATACCTACATCATTATGGTAATTCTATTAATTTGTGCCATCTTTTAGATAGCAAAACATTTGAAGTTTTATATTAAAATGTTCATTTATATGTATGGAATTCCATCATTTCTTTCAGTATCTACTCTTTGTGGTTTTTTTATTTGTGCTTTGTTTTGTCTCTGTGTGTTTTCCCTAGGAGTGGAAATTCATCAATGCCAGTCTTCTCTACTGGAGGTGGACCATTTGTAAAACTAAACACAGCATCTAATGGCAGCTTAATACTAACACCAAGGTGGGTCCCAAAATCTGTTCTTGAACAAGTTGCACATGGACTGGAAAGAGGATAGATTTCAAAGCCAATCAGATTTTAATTCTACCACATACTAGCCACATAATCTTGGAAGTTCTTTACCTTTTTTATTCTTCAGGTAATCTCAAATAATCTCTAACTGGTCCTATCTGATAACATTGCCTAACCCCCATAGAAATGGTAAGACAGCCAAACAAGATATTGTATATGAAATTGTTTAGCACTGACAATGATCCAGGAGGTTTTAGTTGCATGTCCTTTTCATCCCTACTCTCAGATTGAAAGAAATTGTGAGCCCTAGCCGGTTTTGCTCAGTGGATAGAGTGTGGGCCTGCCGAATGAAGGGCATGGGGCTTGATTTCAATCAAGGGCATGTACCTCAGTTGCAGGCCCGATCCCTGGCCCTGATTGGGGCATGTGCAGGAGGCAACCAATCGATGTGTGCCTCTCACATCGATGTTTCTCTCTTTGTCTCCCCCCTACCCCCGGTCCACTCTCTAGAAATCAATGGAAAAATATCCTCAAGTGAAGATTAACAACAACAAAAAAGTCTAGACAAGTCAAGTTAGCTATCATCAAACGAGGAGAATGAGGAAAAAGTCATGGGAATCTTTGCTCTGCCTTAGCAAATAGAACATGGATACAAGTGAGGAAGTCCAGACTTGTAGTTGTGCCGACATATTCTCTCAAGTTAGCTATCATCAAACGAGGAGAATGAGGGAAAAGTCATGGGACTCTTTGCTCTGACTTAGCAAATAGAACATGGATACAAAGTGAGGAAGTCCAGACTTCTAGTTGTGCCAACATACTCTTTCTTGCTCATTAAAATTAGATTCACTTTTATAGCTTTTACTAATGTTTTACAAAGCAACATTCTTTTCATATTCAAAGATCTGTTGTAGCTTAGATTATGTCATTTCCCCTGTCTGAGCATTATTGGTAATTTTTGTTGAAATTGACTTCTGAATCTCACAGTTCCATTAAAGGCCAGCTGGGGGCGGGAAGAAGTAACTGCAGGGCGAAGCCATCACTCCACACAAGGGTTTAGGATGGCATGGTTGGTGCATTAGCTTGTTTAACAAACTTAATGGTGAAAAATGAAATTACAAAATTATTCAGCTATTCATGAAAAGGTACCATTTCTGTGAGATCAACCTGTAACAAACTGATAAAGGGGTATTTTTCATACCCAAGGGGTTTGCAGTGGCATGTTTTATATGAATGTTTGCTGGGCCTTGAGACTATCAGTCTCATGGGGTGAAGCGAGGGGACTACTAGACTTCCTTTCTAGACGGCAGGTCTAAATTTACATTACCGTCATAGATCTTGAGCAGTCTGCACGGTGAGAATTTCTTTTACTTATATCTTATGGACATTTAAAATGATAAAAAGGACAAAATATAAAAAACCAGTCATCTTTCTTAGATGCATGTTTCAGAGAAAAACTAGGTTATGCATATCATCAAATGCCAGTATCACCTTACCTTGATGTCCCTATTGTGTGTGTGTTTATGTTATTTGAAAGAGACACCATTTACACACATAGAAACTTTAAACTTTCAAAACACCCATGAGCCAGAGAGGTCCTTAATCCCTTCCTTGATTAGCCTACTGGGGCTGTGCCCACAACCAAGATACATGCCCTTGACCGGAATTGAACCTGGGACCCTTCAGTCCTCAGTCCGACGCTCGTCTATCCACTGAGCCAAACCGGTTAGGGCAAAAATTGGTGTTTTTGAAAACACCCTTGCACTAGTGGTTGTGATTCAAAAAAAAAAAGGAGGAAAGGAAGAGAATATCAAAGAAGATCATTCTTCCAAATATGAAAATCTACCAATCTATATCCTCATATTTTTCTCCTATTGTGAGGCATATGCGAGATTCTGATACTACTTCCCACCACAGAGAAAGGCCACTCAGTGAGATACCAGCAATCTGACCTGATAGAATTGGAAATGTACAATCCATGCAGCTGCCAATACTGCACTTCCCCTTCCTCCAATTATTCAGACCGCTTCTGTAGCAGTCCTAAAAGTCAAAGAAACTTTGACTTAATATATATAGATCAACACTGCGTTCTAAGCTTGGTACCAGATACAGGATACACAGTGCTTATCAAACACTTTATTGAATGCCTATCATGTGACAGACACTGTAGTAGGAATATTGCAGAGGTTATTTCCAATCTGTGTAAAAGCTATTACACAGACAATATTGTTCCACTAGAAAAGAGGAGGCAACAGCAGCCCAGTGTTGGTAACTGACTTGGACAAGTTCACAAAGCCTGCAGGCAACATAGAGAATCTAACCCAACTCCGTCTGACTTCACAGTGCTCTACTTCTTCTCTCTGCTGCGCTATTTTCCAATGTCCCCAAAGCGACAACTTGCTTTAAATAGCAGTTCTGGAAAGGAGAAGGAAAAAGGAAGGCTTTTCAATAACAAAAAAGGCCATGTTGCTGAGCATCTATTGGGAGAGAAATGAGTTCATGTTGTCAATACAACAGATACAAACCCATCCATTTATATCACAGCATGGTTCCCACTGGGCTGAGAGAGAGACACAGGATCGTGGCATTGTCTTTCTTCCTATCCAGAGGGCTAACCTAGCTCTGACTCCACTGCCAAAGGCCAGGACAGCAATTCTGTTTCTCTCCAATCTCTCCAAACATACCTGGACAATGAGTGGATTCAATGCTCATTCTGACCACAGGTTAAGCAACTATTCCTTTGACACTGCATGTGTGTGTGTGTTTGTGTATGAAATTTTTGACTAGCCAAAGTGCATAGAGAATAAAGTGTAAGGTTCAATTTAATTTTTTGGTTAACTATTAAGTTAAGTAGAAACTTTTCTGCGCTTACTAAAAATATAATTCATCAGTGTTATACATGCCACAGAGTATTAAGCATTTTCTAATATCTAAGAATGAGATGAACTGGTTTGCATATGGATTTTCACTGATGAGTACTACAGATGCAGAAAGAGTTGGGATAAAACTTGACACAACTCAGAAATTACAGCTCTCCCAACTACGAGTAGATAACAGAAGCGGAGTTAATTGAGGGTTCTTCTTTGTATAGTTCTGAATATGTTTTGATATATCTATATCTAGATAGCTACATATGCATGCATATTGCTTATTAATAAAATATAAATATGTTTCCTTATATTTTCATTGAAGTTATCTTCTACTCTAACGGATATGTCAATCAGACCACATGAATGCATGTGGTTTCAAATTAACGTTATGAATTTTCCAGAAACACTGATTTGCTTTGGCTGTATTTATGATCTCCTATGGTTCTTGGGTCTTATTTTGTGTGTTTTTTGTTTTGTTTTGTTCTTCATCTTCAAGACCTAAACAACATGAACAATAGGTGTAGTTAAATATATAAATAGAAATCATTAAAATGATTAAATATAACCATTAAAATGTGTGCATGTGTGTGTTTTAATGTGACTAATATCTGCAGTGGCTGCATCAGGAAATATGGGGCAAGTACTTTAATTCCTTGTATTAGACTGATCTCTAGTGGCTGGTAAGTATAACAAATTTTTAAAAAATCTTTTTCTTGGCTTTAAATAAAGTTTGTATCCAAATATTTAAACAAGTAGTGAGTTTTATTTTTTTAAATGTATTTTTATTGATTTCAGAGAGGAAAGGAGAGGGAGAGAGAGATAGGAACGTCAATGATGAGAGAGAACCATTGATTGGCTGCCTCCTGCACACCCCAAACTGGGGATCAAGCCTGCAACCTGGGCATGTGACCTGACTGGGAATCAAACTGTGACCTCCTGGTTCAAAGGTTGACGCCCAACCACTCAGCCATGCCTGCTGGGCTGGATTATTTTATAATAACGAAAAAAATTTCAAAAATCTACGTGTTGTACTACATGGCCCAGGTTAAATACGTTATGCTAAATCCATACCATGGAATACTATTAAACCAATGGGAAAATAATCATAATATGC